CACGTATTTCGTTCTTTCAACTCGTTCTTTCATTAATATTCTCAATAAAAGTTGACTAATATATATATATATATATATTCAGTTCATATATTTCAGTTCAGTGTTACATTACATTACTATTATATAGCATTGCGTTACGTTTCGTTACGTTACATCACAATACGTTATAATATATAATACAGGAATATATCTGCATAGTGACAGTCTTTCTTATATTCTCGACATTATTTTGCCTATTATAAAATAGGTACCGACGACGATCTTCTGTTCGTACATAATCCCGTCGATGTTTCTAGCATATTTACTTATTAGGTTCGACGCTGACGTCACACACATGTTAACACGCGTACTCGAGCACGTTCTTTTGGCGTGCTCCACTTTCTATGCTAACCGATAATAACACATTCCGATTGGTTGGATTCACTGCAGAACCCCATCTATTAAACGTACTGTGGTGTTACATGTAACACGCCTTCTGATTGGAACAAAATGTATGACTGTCAGTTGAAGGAAATATGAGTTTATTAACATAATGTTCATCTAGCCGCCCGCATGTTGTATAAAATTTCAGTTTATTTTACAGGACTGCTATTACCAGTCAGTTCAAAATAATAAAGTGAATACAGAACAATGCTAATTAGATTTTACCGTGAACATGACGTGTTTTAGATTAGCCAATAGCAAGCGTCAGCATATTACGTATTTCATCTCCAGCCCCATTGGTTCCCGTTTACGAGGAGTCATAAGGTCATAGGTTGAAAACATATATCGACATTCTCCTCGCCTCGTGAATCGAACTTGCAGAAGATAGAAGTAGAACGTATACAGAGAAGGATATGGGTAAAACTGGGCAAACATTTAACGCCCGAACAGACATTTATGTAAAGAGGACTGTTATGAACTGTGAAAAGTGGAGTTAGTGTTTTTATTTAGCTTTTTTAGTTTATTTATTGCACATCAAAATATAAGCACAATGTGGCATGGAAAAATGTACCGCGACCTTTTTAGCTCCAGTCTGCGTGTGCTGCACAATATTAATTCGACTGCCGAAAAAGGAGCAGTCGCCACAGCTTTGTCTGTCACAAGAACATTTACTTCTCTAGAACAAGCCGATGCAAGAGAGAGAAACCGATCAGTTACGTCGTTCTACAATCAACCAGCAATTGACGCCGCGGCAGATAAGGTAAGATTGTTGTTTTCTGAAACGATAGTTTGAGTACTGGTCCGTCGATTCTCTAAATCGTTCACTTACACTCAACGCTATTTGTTGTGGTAAATTTGAGAGAATTTGTCTAAACGACCGATTTATTATTAATAATGTCTTACTCTGACAGACTGTGATCATTTCGTATCCATATTTCTCAATGTGTGTTGGCGTGATTACATCATCCAGTCTCACTAAATAATGCAATATTCCCTCATTTTCAAGCAGATTTCGAACAACAACATACTACATTAAGCCCGATCAGTTCAAATATGGAGTCTTTGCTTCATTGTCATATTTAAATTTAACAGTGATGTTTTGAAGTGATGGCCACAACAACAACTAATACTTTTTTGTGTCATCTTTTGTGTTTGTCGATGGCCTTGTTTGAATCATTCAATCATTTCTGTTCAACCCCCCCCCCCTCTGTGATGGAAGGGGCTCTATTCAGATATAATTTAAAAAAAAAAAGACATAAATTATTATAAAATGTATTTTTGTCTCTGTATTCCATAATGATATAAATAAAACGCATGACAAAGGAGAAACAAATATTTCTTTAAATAATTTTATAAAATGTATACTACAATAGAGACTAAGAATGTAAATTTCCCTGCTTTTTAATGTGAATTGAGTTTGACCCCCTTGATCAACTAAGAACAGGAACGAGGTCAGGTTAAGCAGTATGGCTTGTTTATTCCTATTCACTTCTCCCATCTGCATCTGATTGGATGAAACATGTATGACCTTGTTGACATACTTGAGTGCACAGCACATCACCTGATAAAATTATTCAAATTGAGCTGAGCTCATTAAATATGTGCTATTGTTTGTTAATCAGCACTGAAAATAGGCCTGTTCCTTTTCCTGAATTCCTGAACAGCTGTTTTTAAAATGAATTATTTCTATCAAATTTAAACATGTTTTTCTCAGTCCATCAGTGTGCATGAGCTGAATGCATGATATGATTCATCCTCAGTGGGCAGACTTGTTGTTTGTTTTGTTATCTGATATATTTGTTTTTTGTATAAGAGTACTCATAAATGATACTACAAACTGTTTTTGTTGCTAATATAGTACAAAATGTATACAAATGTTAAATTTTGTTTGCTGTGTTATATTTTTCCCTATTTTGCTGGTGTACTGTAGACCCCAGTAAGGGACGACGTTAAAAGATCGATGTCTGATAAAAAACTTATTTCCTTTAGTTTGGGGGTGGGGGGTTTTGACCTCAAAAAGTTTCCATCCTACAAAAACGATTTTATTTTTTAATGAAGTCAAAAAAATCTTGGAGTATTTGTAGTTCGTTTTTTTCTATCCAATCATGGACAGAAATAACCGGAAAAAAAACAACAGAAAAATGGTTTGGTTCGAGTGTAAATCTGTGCGTCAAATGAGGTGCATTTGTAAAATCTTTTTACACCCACCCGACAACCGACTACTGTCCGATTATCAATTTGTATTTAATGGTGAATGTAGTCTGACGCCATGACCAATATTTATCAATTAAGTTTCAGTGGGGGTAGGGGGGTTTAGAAAAAAACTAAAGGAATTAAGTTTTGTATCCGACATCGATCTTTTGATGTCGTCCCTAAACTAAATACTGTTAAGCTTGGTAAATTATCATCAGTATTTATTAATTTTCCCTTATTTGATATTTTGAATATACATGTATTTGATTTGCTGGTGGAACGATGAGTTCTATTGTACATCATGTGCATGTGAAATTAAATCTCTGTGAATAATTAATGAATTTACTGTCACCTGCATAATAATGTACATATCTCTACTATGCAAGATATTAAGTACAGAACCATTTACTACCGTAATGCATATTACTTTAGTTGTATCACATACTTGCTACCATAGTTGAGAATGATATCTAGAGCTTCCTCGGTAATAATTCAATAACTACAAGCAGTGACAGTCTTGGGCCACATTGATTTGCTGTGGTGGACAAGCTCATGGATTTGTCTTCATAATCATTAATGGCTGACAAAACAGTTTTAAAGCGAGAGGGTCGTCACCTATGCATGCATGGGAATTGAGTCCCAAGTGATGATAACAACACTCGCTAAGATCGCAAAGGCTTGTGGGTAGATGCTTGTTAGTAAACAATGACACACTATGGCCCCCTGACACATGCGTAGGTGGCGACTCCCTCGCTTTAAGGTAGAAACCTACTCATGATTTCAAAAACCCAGAATTTCTTAATTTTTTAATATATTGTACTTCCAGGCAATATAAGAATATTGACTTTGAAAAAAATGGGGGTCACCAGGTTAATTTTCTAGAAAATCATGGTTGTATTTTAGTGGATAGCGGCCATTTTGGCAGTATTATAGAGCTTTTACCATAGGTTCCTATGGCAGAGATATTATGCCATATCTCAAATTGTAGGCTGGTGACATAGGCTGAAAAAATAATATATTAATGATGGCCTACTTTTTGTTTTCCTGAATTTTTTCAAAAATCTGGGTTTTAAAAAGTGTTGAAAAATTTGTGTTTTTTGTTTAACATTGGGCTCTATGAAATTGTTCTAAAAATAGCTATTTTTACAAAAATGTAGTACAAGTTTCTCAAAATACGTCACTGTAACACACAATAGAATGTTATTTTATGGTGCCATGGGACAATAGTTTCATGATTTTACATAATAAACCAATGAACACTGTCATGTGATTTATGACAAAATTTCTCAAAAAATATTAGTAGGCTTCTACCTTAACATGTTTCTTGAAGATTGCAACCAATACCACAAATAGGAAGATTGCATAGATCATGCTTGCCAAGGATCTAATCCTTTTTAGCTTGCCCGTAATGTTAACGAAGAAAAAAGTTATATAAGGGGCAAATGTTTGTATAGTTATTGTCATCCTCGTCGTTAACTTGATTTCTTGTGGTTACAATAACTCAGACAATTCTTATCCGATCATCTTCAAATTCATATTAGTCTGTATAAATCTTAGCCACTGTGAAACAATTTGTATGTGATCATTTTCAAACTTGCGAACATCAATCACTACAACGTATCAACTAAATAAAATTTTCTGTGACTAGCATGTCTAATTTTCAATATACTGTGGAATACTTTATTTTTGCTGGAATTTATTTTTGCTGAAAAGGCTTTTTGGGCGTTTTGCTTGGAAATTTTTTTCACTGATTTTTGATGAGTTTAATGTGAAATATAGGAAAAAAAGTACATTCGCTGGATTTTATTTTCACGTAATCACCCCTTCAGCGAAAATAGCGAAAATAAAGTATTCTACAGTATACATGACAATTTTGCTTAAAATGAAACATTTGTTTGACATAGAAATAACTGCAGAAAATGCAGGCGTTTACACTGCTGATAATGACGCCACTAGTATACTCTCCAAGATCTGATAATTTTATTATAAATAAATCATTTTCCCCTCTAAACAATCTTTCTGGCCAGTATTTGCCTTTAAATTTTTAGCATGCATGTATGTTATCGTTGCATAGGACTCAATTCCTATGTCTGTGCAGTTCTGCCTCAACATGTAAACTCTTAATTTGAATAGTCTATATTAGCGATCTAAAGTAACACTGAGTTAATATTTTTTTGTTTTTTAGCCCGCTGTTCGCCTGTCGCCGACTACTTTACTCTATTCTGGGAAGTCTCCTGATGGCAATCATATTCTGGTGAGTACCGTACTTGTATTATAATGATTTGTCTATTATCTGGGACGTCTTCTGTATTATATTCTGCTTATTTGTGACACCCTCCCAGGCCACTGAGATCACCAGTGTGGGATCAAATTGATACACTGTGTATATATGAAACTGTTTTGTAAAATGTTCTCTGATTTGATAACAGTGAGATTGACAGGCACCCCAAGAATACTGTTCAAGGGCACGATTCGTAATAAACAAGCTTGAACTACAATGTGAGCAGGGCGTTGTGAAACGCACTGTTAATAGAAACATGGCTTCAGAAATAGCTTATGCCACACCACTGAGAATACAGACATTGACAGATTAGATGAATGAACACTGCTTTGCGTTAATATCATTATACAACTTTGCAAAACCCCTCAGTATCATACTTTTAAAAAAAGTGGATGACTTTCCTTCAAAAGATGTGAATCATTGGCCGTAAACTCGCCACAGAGTTTGTGTCTGTAGCATAGGCATCATCACGTACCCTTGCAGAAATCACATCTATTCTTTTTAAACAGTTGAGAACCAAAAATTCATTGTTTATTGTATGTGTAGATGCTCCAATAGAAGTCGCATCATATCTGTTGCATTGTACCATTTTAATAGAAGTCACAGCCTTAGCTTGTTTTTTCCCGTTTAATAACCCATTTTGAGTTGATGTGAGAAAAATCCCATGCACAAAAAGCTTGAGATAAGATTCTGAGATTAAAAAGTGTGAACAATTTCATCCCTACCTCTTGTGGGTGTGAGATTCTATTAATCTCTACATCCATAATGGTAGAATACACACAATAAATAACAAGTTATGACATTCAGACCGTGAGAATATGGACATTCTTGGAACATGTTTAGATTTGTTGTAAAAGCCATCCTTGTTAGGAAAATGTTGCACAGCAATAATGTTCATTTTGAATGCAGCAGCAATGTAGCATGCAATGGGGAAATGAACATCACTGAATGTTGTGCAAGTGCAAGTAACATGGAATATGTGAATCGCGTAAAATGTTACGATGTTATGTAATGTCATGGCTACAAGCAATAAAGTTTATATTTTAATAATATACTGGCAGAACCTTCTACTTAAGTCGAGGATGGATTAAATTTTATTTTATTCATTTTATTACTTTGCCCGTCTTTAAAGGACATTCGGTAGACTGATTCCCCACTGTTTGTTCAACCCCAAAACTTGTTTGTATTCAAAATTAATTATGACAATGCATATTTATATTGAAACAAAATATGTTAAAGGGAATTATATTATATAACAAAAGGCAAGGTCACCAGAGTTCAACTATGTTTTTTGAAGGAATCTTCATCTTTGCCAGCCAGATAGGGTCATTGTCTGGTTCGTTGAGTGAATTAATTATTCAAAACTCTGTTTGGTCTTTTTTTTCAAAAGAATATATTAGTATTTTTTGTCATAAGAAAACATATTATTACAATAGTGTAGAGGTATTAGTGAGAATAAATAAATTGCTCCTGTAGCGGAGGTTCATGCTATCAGGGTTACGTTCTATTTAACTTTGTCAACTGTTAATTAGGTTTTCAAGACACATGTCTTGGAAACCTATTGTAATCGTTATGTTTTTTATTATTCCGCCAGATTTTTTCGCTAAGCGCCATTTCGACACCGTTGCACATATCTGTAAAAAATTTCCATATGTTTGTAAAGGTTGATGAGATCTAGTGCATATCCTAAGATGACGCATATTGATCACGTGGTACGGCGGCCATTTTGAATTTTAGGCAAAAAATGGCATGCTCATTTAAACACCTTTCTGAGGGCCTAGGAGTCTCAAACTTTCGCCTAAAAGAAGCATTGGCCCTAGAGCTACGTATATCAGAAAAAAAAAGTTGAACGGTCATGTGACTTTTTTTTCTAGAATTTTCTGAAATATTGTTTTGCATCTCATTTGCATAATTTTGATCGTATCGAAATTCCACGCCATAATTTTGAAGAACATCATACATACTACAGATTAATCAAAGAATCATGGAAGTGCGACCAGTAGTTTTGGAGCAGTTGATTTATGAATATTTTTCACATTTTATATAAAATAGTCAGCAATGTTGCATTATGGGAAAGGGGGGAGGGCCCATATACGATACACATTGAATT